AAAAATATATGTTCCACAAATGGAAATGATTTCTGAATTTGAAGAAAAAATTCATGTTCGAAGGGGTATTCATCAAATAATGATATCACACGAACATAATTAAACAATCCACCTGGAAAATTATTTGAAATTTCATCAAAATATTGCATTACAAATGGATATGAATAAATGTGACAGTGATTTTCTTTTGACTCGACAAAATGATCAACATAAGAAATGACTTCACTATTTACTAAATCAACGAATGTACGTTGAATATCTTCTGTTGATAATAGATTCATTTCATCATAAAAAGACACCGTCGAGGAAATATAAAATGTAAATTGATTTAATCGTAATAGACGATTAAGAATATCTTTCTTCAAATTATTTCCATCAATAAATATTGTTTTGCCATAAACTGCAAGATATAAACCAAGCTGTTCCAAATTTGACATTCGGTACAAAAGTGGTAGAACTAATTCATCGTAATGAAGTGTACCGTGATAACAGGTAAGAGACAAACACTTTAGATTAGGTAAATCGCCCTAAAAAAAACAAAATTTGTTTTTTTTTATCTAACAATACAGATTTTTTAAATAAAACTAACCTGATTTTTCAACTCATCCGAAGGACGAATATGAAGTAAATCAATAATGAATGTGTGAAGTTGATCAAAACGACCATCAAGAAGATAAAGACAATCACCAAAAGATTGTACTTTAATATTTAATTTCCGAAGAATTGAAGAACGAAAAGAAATAGGTGGACAATCAAGATTTAATCGAACACAATTTATATATGATGATTCAAATAATATTAAAGTAATTAGACAATGGAAAACAGTTAAAATGCAATTATAGATATTGTTCACTGACGATAGCATTGCGTTATAATCGTCATCATCAGCATCAATTGCAAGAAAGAGTGTTGTTATCTGATTTTTAAAAATACCAGATGAAAGAGTTTTATCTAAACAAATATACGATATTAGTAAAAAATAAATCTATAAGAATAATATCAATAGAATTTGACAAATCTTTCATTTGTTTAAAATTAATAAAAAGAATTGAATTAAAATATATTACCAGTAAAAAGTGATTGAGCTGACTCTTCATTGATATTATAAAGAGCGAGAGTAACTAAATTCGGATATTCAACAGTATGTAAAACATGTTTCATAGATGGTGATGCAAGATCTAGCCATTTGATATTCTGATGAATTGCAGGTAAAATTTCTGAACAAAATTTATCGCGTATTATATCACAAGAAAATAGATCGATAAAATTATGTGACAACCATTTAACAAAAGCCAAACGGGTTGTAAATATTGGATCATGAATAATTTTATTTAGTCGTTTATTGACACCTTGTAAAGAATAAAGTAATTCAGTATTGTTCAATTTTTGAAAAATAATTATAAGAATTTCATCAGGTAGATCATTTAATCCAACGTATGAATCAAACATATTTATTTTTATTTGTCTAGTCGATTTCATTAATAAATGTCAATATATATATACATATCCATCTGTTCTATTTGACCGATGCCGTCAATAGAAACAATAATAATATTTTTTTTACAGTCCAAGTTGATAATGAATAAGCGTATGGCTGAAAGAATATTCTCATTTTTTTTTCTCATATGTTTAAAATGTCATATGATAAAAATGTGATAATCTTTCTTGATTTATTTTATAGTGTATATGGATACTTATAGGAATTTGATTGACACTCTTAATTAGAATCAATTAGATCTAAAATATTTTTCTGATCATTTGAAAAAACGAATCTAAATAATTTACAGTACACTCTAGACTTCAAAATTCATTTTAGACTTGAGATTCAGTTATAAAAGTATTTTTTCGTTTATATGTTCGAACTTTACCGTATTGTAAATGCAATCTAAATCGTTGTTTTTATTGATAATTCTTGCGAAAGACTCTACAACTTTGTAAGTGATATACGGACGATATCATTTACCTTTCAAAAAGGAAATCTCAATTTGTCAGTTATTTTTAAGAATTAAATTATTGGTATCATATTTAATGAATGTAATTATATATAAAAGTTGCAGTGAGAAATAAATTTCCTAGTTTTAATTTTCAAATGAGAGAGTTATACATTGTTTATAATAATGCGTTTATATATTTAGAGGAGATTTTAACTAATGAAGATGTTGAGAAATTTTCTTAGAAATATCTAAATACATCTTAAGAGTGTTTCAATGCTTTGTAATATTGAAATATAAGAATTTTACAAGGTTCAATGAAATTGTAAATTATTGAAGAGATATGATTATTGTTTAGAAGAAAAAATAGATGTTTATTCAATTATTCTGCACTAAAAATACTTGAAAAAGAAGTGCATACATATTGAAAAGATTATCAAGGAAAATATGAAAATCTGTAAGTATCGTTTTATGATTAACAATAACTACTCGAATGTATGTTTTGTTTTTAATGTAAGTTGTTGATGGAAATGCAATATCTGATAATGGCATACAGCAAAAAATTCATTATTAAATATATTGATAATATCAACGTTATTTTTATCGAACATCTTCGGTTCAAATTTAAAGTTAACGATATTATGTGTTACAAGGCAAATGATACGAATAAGAACATTATGTTTTTCTACTAATGAAATTAAATATTGAGCTAATTTAATAAATCCATGTTCTTTTAAAGTGAACCACATTTTTAATAAACACAATGAACGTGAAAGTCCAATACCTAAATCATTAAAGCCTAAATTTCCACGTTGAATGTATGTAACAATAGTTCATAACGAAACTGAGAATATGGACACTTATCACCCATCACCGGTATCTGCATTCCGACGAAAAATACATTCATGGATTTATACATAAGTTATATTATATAGGAATTAAAAGTCGAAAAAAATCATAATATGTTTTCTTATATTTGAATTTGTTCAAAAACTATACTTCTTAATAATAGTGTAAAAAATCATTGAGATACTTGATGTTTTCATTGATAAACTAGCTGAAAGTAATGAAACACGATAAATAAATTGATATTCTCCATTAATTAATATTAACTTTATTAAAAGGATAACACTTGGAATTTCTAACGAGAATCACAGTGAACCATAAGAAAATCTCGTTCGTGTGTGATGGGTGGGTGTAGCATAAGAAGAGGCACCCACACCTTCAATAAGTTTACTTAAAAAAACAAATATGTACACATAAAATTCTGCATACATAAATATAAAGAACATCAAGATGGTTTCTTTGTCTTTTTGGTAATTAAAACTAAAAGATCTTCAAAATAATAAGTGAGTATGATCTTTTGTCTCTTGTAAAGTTTATCGACACATTAAAAGATCTGATGTCTTGAGAGCTTTATTGAAAATTTAAATTTTCGAATTATTTTTGTGCCTTCCAAATTTTGTTACTGTTTTTAAAATTTTTCTCAACAGCGGGTAGAATAACAAGAAAATATATCGAATGAACCAATCTAATATTCCGCCGATGAAAATATCAGTAATGATAATGAATCCATTTTCATTTTTCTACCAAAGAGATTAAGTGAAATATTATATCTAATCTCATATAGATATGCAATTCAACTTTTAGGACTTTTATCAATTATTTTGATTTTAAGTTGAATATTACAGATGAATTTGATGATTCTTGAAAGTTTATTATTGTGCTTTCGAAAAAAAAACAGTATTAAAGTAAACAAACATACTAATTGAAGAGAAAACTTTAGTTAAAAATCATGTCGTTTATTAACAAACACATTTTTCATTCAAGAACTTTGTCGAGACTGAATCAATAGGTCTTCAGCTTTTAGAGCCTTTTTAGTAGCATATGTGAGATTTCATCCTCGATATTCATCAAAAGTAGAAACAACATCAATCAACAATGTAAAAAACCATATATAAATAGTACGTTTAAATGCGTTTTGAATTAACACAAAAAAGGAATTGAAGGATACACATATGTCTATACATTAATGAAGTTTTTGTCGACGTACAATATTTAACTTTAACAAAAAAGTATTTATTTTATTAGTTGATCAATTATATTTGTAGATGTTCAGTATACGAAAATCTCAAGTGTCCGCCTGGAATACTGATATTGAATCATCTTCTTCTCAAAGAAAAAAATCAGATAATGATGATGTTAATCAAAGGTGAAGTACTTTCTTGCTTATTCTGTTTTTATTAATTCAATAACATTCAAAATATATTTTCTTATTAGGCGACGTTCTGCTGCATTAGGACTAAACACAAAATGTTGTTGTCTTTTGCAAATGATTACTGGATTTATTATAAGTGCATTATTTGCCACTATCATTATTGTTCCCATTTTTGTTATCCAGAAACAAGCAGAAAATAATCATAAATCAATATCAGCAACAGCACGTAAGTTTATATATAGATATTACTGAAACTCTATGTAAGAGAACACTATTCTATAATAAAAAAAGAAATTATAATGTATCATACATTGAATATCTACGATAATCATGAAAATTTTCCTATCAAACGCATCAAATATATTTCTTTTATAGCTTTTGTAGTTACAACATCGAACACTACGACAACTACCATGGTTTCGACGACCACAACAACCTCAACATCCACTAGCACCGCTACAACTACCATGGTTTCGACGACCACAACAACCTCAACATTCACTAGCACCGCTACAACTACCATGGTTTCGACAACTAGAACAACAACCTCAACATCCACTAGCACTGCTACAACTACCATGGTTTCGATGACCAGAACAACCTCAACATCCACTAGCACTGCTACAACAAGTATATATATATATTATTCGATGATTTTTAATTATAATCAATTATATCACTGGTATAATTTTAGCAACGACCGATACGACGACGACGATGACTACAACTACGACGCCAGGTAAGAGATGCATCTTCTGTTATCTTTCGCACTCTATTCATTCTACATAATAGTATTAAACATTTCAAGATTATGTGAGTCGCAAAAACAAGGATAAAAATATATTAGTTTATCTATTTTATTTGAAGTTCAAGAAGAATATGTTAAAGTTCATGTTTTTCTATACAAAAAAATTATTGTTTAGTTTACTATTATTGTTATTCAATGATTGACACAATTTTTGTTTATATATAGGATGTTATTTTGGTGATGATTATGTCGATTTAGTACATGGAGGACGTCGTCGTATACGTAATTTAAAAGCAGGAGATCGTGTCTGGACATTAATTAATGACGGTAAAAATTTCGTAGAAGATGAAATAATGATTATACCGCATGCTGGACCAAATACTCTAAGTTTGTAAAAGTTTTGAATGTAAATATATATTTATAAAATTATATAAATTAATCTAGCTTATTTCTACACATTTACAACAATCGAAGGACATACAATTCATTTAACTGATTCACATTATATAGTTGTGGCTACTATTAATGAAAATAAAATAAAAATAATATGTGCTTCAGATGTTACACTTGAACATCAACTAATTATATTTAATCGTAGAATAGCTTTAGAAAAAATAATATATTCTAGACATATTGGTTTTTATTCACCAATTACATTAAGTGGTTACTTAACTGTAAACAATATTTCAACATCAGTTTATACCGATTTGTAAATATTATATCAATTTATATTTTTATAAAGCTATATCACGTCTTTTCTTTAGTTTACAAGTACCACATGATATGCTTCATCAAATAGGAGGTCCATTTCGAATTTATTATCATATAACAAGATGGTTATTTGGATATAAATATATACCATTTTCAACAACTATTAATGATGAAATACATCCCATATCTGCGTTTATCATTGATTATTATAAACAAATTCAACTATTTTTTCCTATTTTTTCCTTATAATTAGTGCCAACGTTATTGATCATTTTAGTTATCTATGTACTTCAATAGTTTTATTTTCATTTAAAATTTTATTATTGTCTGAAACCGAAATATTTTATGAGTACATCACAATCTTATGTATTTTCTGTTTGATAACAAAGAAATTTTGTTACAATATCATATTTATATAAACTCTTTCTTTTCCTAGTTGTATCTTCTCATTATTAAATCTATAAAATTAATTTTATATTTATTCTCTTTCTCGCAGAGAGGAGTCCAGTAAACATAAATTGTTTGTTTGCTTGTGTGTCCGCAGGGTCAAAAAACATCGAAGACTGATTTTTCGAAAAAAACATTTTTAGAGGTATTTTGATGCAAGGACTTCGAATTTGAGATCTACCGGGTGACCATGGTTGGAGGGGGGATAAAGAGGGGTCAAAGGTAAAAAAAAACATCGAAAATCAATTTTTCACGGTTTTCATATGTTTTTCCATAAAATGTGAAGATAATGCATTTCTACGCGAAAGAGCTAAGCGAGTCCTCGGACGAGCGTTACTTTATTATAGTCATTGATTGAGACATGTAGAATTTAAAATAATCGTAAAAGTTTTAAAATTTTATTATCAGATATTAAAGCCTTTATGATTCATTGAGACTTCTATTTCGTACCAAACGTTGATCAATTTCGAATAATATACCTTTATTAATTCTATTTTCACAAAGTTCAAGTGTAGTAAGACTCTAGAAGATAAGATGCAAATAAAAAACTGGTAAAGATGAAAAGAGAACGAGAATTACCGTATTGCTTACTAATGCTTTAAGTAAATCTTTTGCCCCTGCATCACTGATTTTATTTGTTCTTAGATTCAATGTAGTAGGGTTCTAGAAGAAAAAGTGAAAATAAAGACGTGATATATATGAAAAAAAAGATGAGATTTACCTTATTGCATATTAACGCATCATGGAAACAATATTCTGGTGAACGGATCCGGTCACAGTCATAAGATTCCTGCGTTGAATTCTTGACATTTCTCCACGAGTTCCGGCTGGAAACGGTATGTTTCGTGCGGGTTTCAACGGAAAATTCACGCAATACTGCTTCAGGAATTATCGTCCTGCGTATCCTTTGTAAACTGTTTTGAAATGTGTGTTATTGTTTAATCTAAAGTTTAATTTATGCGATGTTGTTTTGTATCTGTTATAGTAGCAGTCATATATACATACCTTTCTTTTCTTTTTCTCTCTTATCGTCTAGATTATCCATACGACAAATATGCATGGGAGCAATTTTCTTGTCAGGTCCTAAACGGAATGAAAAAATGAATTTAAATTTGAATTAAGTAACGTGACTGATCTATCCAGACTTAAATAGTTTATTCTAGGCGATTTATTTGTTAATTCAGTTTCAATTCGTCTGATTTTTCAGTCTGCTTGGGATCTTAACAGAAAAGAAAAAAATGACCATCATAACAAAATAATAGAATCGTTGTAACAACTGTGACCAATGTTCTCATTATGACTATTTCCGAGACGTAAAATAGTATACGCTAATCATGAATATTGTATTCTCTGATATAATCAGTGAAATTTGAAGAGATTACATGCAGAGACAACAACAAAACACAGAAGTCGTTTCCAAAGTTTTCATTCATTCGAATAGATATTAAACGTCTCATCTTGTAAAATATAATGATTGATAAACTTGTATATGTTCATCATGCCTTAGTTTGAAAAGAGAGATTCTTTCTATGGCATCAGAGACTTTATAATAAGTTGGATATAATTTGATAGATAATTAAACTCTGTACTTACTAGACTAAATCAAATATTTTATCATAGAATTAGAAAAAAATATCTCGAAAAAAAGACGTTTTCTCTATTGTAGAACAGAAGACATGTTATGCATAACGAATCTTACGCGTGGAAAGTTGCGGACGAGATAAAACTTGATATGATTAACTTCATAAGATTATTAGTTAGATTCAAAAATAATTTTTTGATTATCTTTAAATATCTGTGTCATGCATTTTGAGACATTCTGATATTTATAGACGAATAAGTACATTAAATAAAAGTAAGTTTGTCATGCTTGGTTGTTACTGCTATATCTTTGTATTTTCATTCTTTGTCGAGCTGTCATCATCATAGACGATCAATAAAAGTTGAAGAAAAGAAAATATTTATTATATATGGATATAAAATTTGGATACGCTTCGTTCAGAGTGATACTCAATTCAAGAATGAGGGTATGTAAATGTATGAAAGTATTATAATCATTCTATGCTTCTCACTCATATACTCAAGAACAGATTCTCTTTATCCATTAATCAATGTTTAATTTATCATTTATTTTTTAAAAATGAAATAATACAGATCCACCAACTATAGGCATCTTGAGTGTGTTGATTAAAACAAAAACAAAATATTTTTTAAAATTTATCAAACAGGTAAATCCGTTTCATCAATTGTTTTACGCCATTCACCTTTCAATGGATTGTAAAATAAATAGAATTGTTCTTCTTTTGGAACATTTTTTATATTAATATAATGAAGATCGAATGAAACTTCATTATAATGACCAAAGAAATGAAGTCGAATAGAGATTGAATGAATGTTTTTGTTAGATATTTCGATAGAAAATGGTTCACAATTTAATTCTTGTTTTTTTCGATCACCAATAGTTATTTGTATCGATTTGAAAAGTGTAAATGGAATTTCAGCATTGTCTGGATCACGACCTTCGATATTAATCTTGGATTTATTCATATCAGGATCATTTTGACATATGATACGAACACGTCTTCGAAGAATCCATGGTGGTATTGGTATATTTAATCTTTCCATTAAATCTTTCATAATTGTATCGCTAAATGTATGAATATTCATTATTGCACGATTATACAATGGTGTGCGTTGAAGATTGCCAATGATTAATTTTTTCTTTCGTTTAGCCACTCGACGAGGAATATCACTTGCTGGTGTAACCGTCAAGCTACTACCTATATATTTCAATCAAAATTAACATGATAGAATTTATTTGTGTGTTATGATCCTACCGAGAACGAGACAAACATCGGCTTTTTCTGCATGGTTAAATGCTTTGTTTAACTCATCTTCAGGCAAGTTTTCACCAAAATTTATAACTGAATCTTTTAATTGACCACGACAGTCAGGTTTGTCACATCGTCGACCAGTATAATGATCTGAACGATTCATATCCGTATCAAAATCTCGTAAATATTTAGCATGACATTTTTCACATGTTTCTAAATTCATATTTCCATGTAATTCAGCTATATATGCTGGATTCATGCCGCTACGTAAATGTAGACCATCACAATTTTGTGAAATCAAACATTTAAGAATACCACGACGTTGTAATTCAACAAGAGCCCTATAATAAAAATCTGAATTTGTTTTGTTTTCAAGTTCAAATAAAATAAAATAATATACATGTGAGAAGGTGATGGTATTGCTTGTTGAATATCGTCAATGATTTTAGCTTTATACGATCGAAATTTTTTATTGCTAAGATAGATAAAAAGTCGATGTATATAAAAGAATGATATTAAATTGACTTACTCTTGTAATTCCCACTCACCGGGTCCTGTGGGTAATATAGTATCCATCGCACTACGAAAATCTGGAATTCCAACTGATGTCGATACTCCTGCACCTAAAATATAAGCAAATGAATGTTTATAAAATATGTCGCAATAATCAAACATACCTGTGAATACAATAAAATGTTGACTTTCTTTTATCCATTGTGCTAATTGATCTAATTTGGCATTCAGGTCTGTTTGTGAATCAAAATATTCTTTTTTACATTCGGGATCTGAAATACCATGAGCCATATTTAAATATTTCGTATACGACTGTACTGTGAAGTTTCGAAATAACACTGACAGAAACAGAATCGTTATACGTCACTTTATAGTAACATATCTTGCGCAATTCGTAGGTAAGAAACAAATGCTCATAGAAGAACACATAATGAGTCATTTAAGACTTTTATAAAAAACAAAATTTTAAAAGTATTCTATTTTGTGAAGATCTTGATAAATATATTCAATATTAAATATTTTAGCTTCTTGCTTTCAAATCTAAAAGATTCTTCTACAACACATTGTATCAGAAATTAATAAATAAAATAATCGTTCGTTCATTCAAAATCGAATTTAACCATCTATATTAAAATTTTTAATGGTACCTATCTGGATATAAATTGTTAGGATGTATTAAATAAAAAAATATCTTTTTGAAATATTTATAGAAATTACAAACTAATTTTCAAACATGAAAGTTTTCGATAGAATTTCAAGAATAAATAATGATTTCTAATCAATATATATATATAT